TAGTAATACACTCTACTAAAAACAGTGATACTTAAATTCCCATCTCTATTCATCATTGTTTACAGATTTGGGTTATAGTCAGTAAGGTATTTATACAAGTATTTATTATAACCCACATTTCTTACCATATTTGTTGTTAATCATCCTCTGTCAACATGTAAATAAATGTTCATTAGATTTATGTAAACTTGGATAGAAAAATGTATTTTTATAAGTAATATTAAAGAGTTTGAAACTTTGCAATTACAACTATAAATTGTGATGATAGTGTCAAGTATGACAATTGTGTGTTGTGAATGCATTGTGTGCATCTCTTTTCATTATTCTTTTCTCATTTACAGTTGTTTATGTCTACAGGACGATTGTATCTTTTTTGTGTTTTCTTATTTCGTATTTTAAACAAATGCTTACGTAGGAAACACTTTTTTCTAAATAAAAGTATATATATGAATCATTTTATGTTATGTTATGTCATGGTAACAATAAGGTAATGAGTAGTTAATATAGTAATAATAGTAATAATAATGGTACCATAGTTGCACAATTGATAGGTCACGCTGCAGAAATGAACTTATCAGCCTTAAGTGACCCATTTAGAGCGATTTATTGGAATTTGTGCTTTATAATTTTGCTTTGCAGCTAAAAAACATATGAAATATTTAACATTTTAAAGGTGTCAAGTTAGTATTTTATCATGTTAGCTCTAGATTAGAGGATTTCTTTCATTCCATCTTGCTAGGTCTTCGTACACGACCTTGCGTCAAGCCAGCTGCACATTAGTTGTAATGTTTTGCCTTCCCATGTTCTCTGATTTCCAGACCAGGCTTTTTGCAGCCCAGGCTGCCCGTAAGGTGGAAGCCACTGGGTTCCAGCCTCAGGATGTTCAGGTCAGTAGTTGTTCACATGTTTCTCGTCTTTACAGAAACGGTTCTATGCGGCTGTCAACAAAAGTCCAGTCTCTTTCCCAGCCTCTGGCTGGCCTCAAGCTCTCTCCTGGGGCTGCTCACAACTACCAGGATGTAGGTTGGGAAGTGGCTGTATTGGGTCTGGATGAATCTGATAATTTGTTTTTATTTGTTTTTCTCAAAGAAAACTGCATTTTCTACTTTAACCTTGTGCAGTTTGTCTCTTCTTGTTGTGCTGAATGGTCCAGATGATATTAAATTTAGCCTTTCAAGTATAAACTGAGGCTTGCTGGCTAACGTGGTAAGCTAATTGTTTATACTTTATAAAAGTGATGATACTTGAAGTGCCTGCAACATCAAATACTTGCTATGAATACAAATGCAGTTTGGAATAGATAACATTTTATATAAAGAAAATTATGCTGCTGGGATTTACATGCACGGTAACAGGAAGTCACGACAAAGAGGAACACCTTTATGTATACAGAGCATTGCTACAATGGATAACTACACCAACAGTAGTGTAAAAAAAGGCCAGTTATATGTTAAAATAATGCATATCGTGCAAAATTTCCTGAATAGAAAGA